TCGTCAGACCTGTCCTTCAAATCGAGGAAAAGGAAGGACGTATTTGTCGGCCGCATCGGAGGAGTCTTCGGTTTGGGACGTCGTTTGTCACAGCACTATAACGTATGCGGCCGACGAATTCGGCCTTCGGAGGACCCGTCCTGCCGTTTTGGACACAGCCTAAGGCTGCTGTGATTGTTTGTTTTTCTCTGGAACATTGTACACCTTATGATATATGTAGCTCACAGTCACCTAAGTAAGTTAGAATTGTTACTTATGTCCCGATACGATAGGATATGATATGACACGATACGATATGATGCAAAACGATAGGATACGATAAGGTACAATACAATATGATACGATACGACACGACACAATATGATACGATAGGATACAATATAATATGATACGATACGTTATGATACAACACGACACAATACGATGCGATATGACACGACACAATACAATACAAAACAATAAATTGCGAAACGATACGATAGGATATAATACGATAGGATCCAATACAATATGATACGATATGTTACAATATGATACAATATGATATGACACGACATGTTACGATACGATAGGATAGGATAGGATACAATACAATTTGATACGATATGTTACAATATGATACGATATGACACGACACGATGATACGATACGTTACAATATGATACGACTTGACACTATACGATACAATACGATATAATACAATATGATATGATACAAAAGGATACAATACAATATGATATGATACGTTATTGCATTTTTTAGTGTTGGCCGATACCGATATCGAACCAAAACAATATCAGAACGAGTCACACATACTTTTATTAACTTTGTAGTGTGAAATCTCAAAAAGTTTTGATCAAGTCAAACACTGAATAATAGTAAACAACAGTAGGTATGAAAAACCGACCCATTTATTGGTCAGTTTTTTTAATTACCCAATGGGTTACATAAATCTTAACCTAAACCTAAAAATATTTTACAATTAAATAAATTAAATAAAAATGAGTGCTTGTATCAGAGATTTTAGATGCAGGCCAATGAGTTTTTTGGCTAATATCAGACTGATATCCAGTACTGATATTGGATCAGGACACCCCCACCTGTGTCCTTCTATCATCTATGCCTCCTGGAAACAGATTTCACCTCTGTGATTTCATCATAACTCCTGAAGCTCCACACCCGCCTGCAACTTGACTTACCTGTCCCCATGCTCACCTGGATTCCTCTCCCTCCTCTCCACGCTGCTGCACCTCCTCCAACCTGGAAGAAATAACCCTACCGTTGGTTTCCTGGTCAMCAGTACTGATCCTCCCCCTCCTGTACGTTTTATAAATAAACATTCAATGTACCTCTGAGTCCTCCAGTCTGTTTCCTCTCAGCTGCTCTGCTTTTGACATTTCCAGTGTTTGTGATGCAGAGGTTGAATCTGACAGAACTCACCAGATAATGGCCAATCRAGTCAGAGCGGAGCTTCGGCCAGAGTGGATTTATTCAAACAACTAAAAGAAATATTTCCCAGCTTTTCGTGCAAACATTACTTTATAATAACGTTACTCTACAGTTTGGCATTACGTGATTATTCTGGCTGGAAAAATATAAAGTCCCTGCCTGAGCTTTACGCTGAAAGTGCTACTGTTAGCTGCTGCTGTTTGTAAGAAACCACAGAATTTATAACTGTATAAAGTGAAACTGACAGCAGTGAAAAGGTTTAGAACAGATAGTCTGTCTACACC